ATAGTCCATCTTTTCGTGTATCGTGGCCTTTAGGGTCTATCCACACTAAGTTTTTGTCGATAATCCCCTCCTCGGGTACTACCTTGTCGCGGTGGAGGGGCTCAAGTACCCCGAAGAGTTAACTCTCTAAAAATCAATCAGTGCATTATCACTGAATCAGTGAATATTCACTGTTTTCAGTAATAATCCATTGACTGATTTTAGAGTGTACATACTCTAAAGACGGGACAACCAAAGGTACCCATTGCACTATTTAGGCCCAATTTTTCATTTTCTAATTAACTGTTGATCACAGTTTAATCGATTCTCTGTCCTTTTTTTAGATAATAATATAGAAAAGGATAGAGAATCGAGGAACTTCCATATTAACAGTTAACCAGAAAATGACATCGACCTGACCGACCGTGTGTAGTTTACGCGAGTGCGCGAGTTCAAGTAAAACGTCTGCGTAGCCGCTCTCAGGTTTCTCTCTGGTTTTACTGCTTAAGTTTTTTCGTGTGTTCGGATCTATACTTGCACAGGTGCATAAGCAAGCATATGCATAAAAAAATTGATTGGTTTATTATGCGTGCATTTATAGCCCAGTCAGATTCCTTAAGCATATGTTTATGCGCTATGCAAGTTGGTCTGGATAGACCCTAATGCAGGATTGGATCCGATATCCGACGTACGACATTCGATATCTAATATGACTGGTTTTTCTTTTGGTTCTTTTTGGATCTAAAAGTATAAACCAATCATATTGGGTATTGGACTTAGTGTGAATCCCGCATAAGACTGAAGTAGTAGGCAAAATGGCCAATCGCGGCTGAGAGTTTCAAAATGGTTTTGAGAATTCTCGACTGCGAATGGTTAATTTGCCTGCTTAAAAGCCACGTAACATAACATGTAGTTTGAAAACTATTTATTTTACTTTATACTCACATAAGTATTCTCCCTAAACTGGATTATACCTTTGTATATATTATTATCCAGCCTTGCCCAGATAGCAAAAAGAATAAAAGAAAGTTTTTTAATTCCCGAGTTATGAAAGAAATTCTTTTGGAGATCATTTTGATTACGGTAATTACTAAAAATTTATAAAAGGATAATTCCGAAAAAATTTTAAACAGTGAATACTTTTTAATTCATATCGATCATTGTTTACTAGGTAATTTTTATACGACACCTTTGACAGAAGTTACAATACAGATAGACTATATTCTAACTAAATTTCTTGTACCATTCGTGGAGAAAAAAAGATGGAGGTTGAACGGTGCAAAAAGTTAAAGACAGATCTATTGAAATTTCGATTATGTATAATGTATTTGAAGCTTACAATTTACTAAGGTATAAAAAGTTCTCTAGATAAACTATTTTAGATAAATTATTTTAGAAAAATAAAAATATATTTGACACATAATATGCACTATGCAGTGCTAGAAAAATAATTTTATTTGTTAATTTTTTTATTAATTTTTGGATACATCACCCATTTAACTACAAAAAGAAAAGATTACAACACATTCTCGAGAATCCAGGAGATGTTTCTTCGTAGATTTTTGGAAGCTAAGAATCTTTTTGTAAATTATTAGACAATTACGTAAATTAGACAATTTTTAAATAGAACTGTCTTGAGATTATATAAAGTTACATTGAACTTCCGTACGATTACAAGAGAACAATACATCTTAAAGTAGATGCTATAGTTTACAAAAACAGACATAAAAACCATTTAATCAAATGCGAAAGAACTTATTAATGTAACAAGATGTAGTTATTTGAGTGGTCTCTTGTAAGCTTGTAATGTCTGATGAGGATATATATCATGAATCATTTCATACATCAACTTGAAAAAGTATAAAAGATTATCGTACTGTCCATTGTATTTCTGCATTCTCTCTTCGCTATTAGTTATGCAATATAGTTTAGACAAATATATATCTTTCTTTTCCGAATAATCTAATTTCAACCGTTCTGGTTCCTTCAAACCGTCGAATTTCACATATTCCTCCTCTACCCCAAGTGCACACGTGTGTAATTCCACTAAAAATTGATGAATTGCTTCAATTGTCGCTAAATACCATCTCGGACTCTTCTTTTGATGGCGCCAAAATTGAGAAATCCTCGCATTTAATATCACGCAACGTAGTTCTGTGTCGATTAAATAGAAACAGTAAGTTGAACAGCAATGCAAAAGCAAATTGCACGTAATAATAATAAAATCCAAGCGAATCCTTTCCTCATTTACCTCTTAATCTGTGGTCTTTGTATATCGATTTGGTTTGCTGCCAAGTGCTGTCGATGAAAATGGCCCTTTTTATAGGGAACGCATCCTCGGCCTTATTGCTGCGTCCTTGCGAGGCGTCACATTTCCCCTCTTCTCTCGTAAAAAGATCCTCGACACTTAGATTCTTTGAGCTATCCTTACTAGGAAACACTAAAACAGTCTAACGGACACTGCCAGGTTAAGAAGGGCGAATCGTTAAGGTCCAGTTTCACAAATGTCGGTCAACTGATAACCGAAGGTTAATTGATTCTGTCACTTCTCAGATAATAAAATAGAAAAGGATAGGGAGTTGATTGAACTGTATTTAACAGTTAACCGACGTTTGTGAAACTGACCCTAAGAATCGCATGGGCCTGAAAACGGACATTGTCGCCCTTCCTCTTACGTCTTCCTTATTCAATATCTCCGGAAAGTTCGGATACGTGTAGATCTTTACGTCCTCCGGCGCGATTATCGCAGCGTGGACGGCCGTGCTCTTGCCAGCTATCTCGCGGGGATGCTTGATGATGTCGATTTTAATTGGCAACTGAAAGAGATGCATGGAATGATTATAATGCGGAAACATACGCAAATTCCGGTTGGCCTCATGATCAAATCGGTACCTTCACTCGTGGATAATACTTGCACGGGATGAGGGGATGGTAACAGGTGTAGCAGAAGTATAACCGCGATTTCTGACAGAAGTCGCACTTCCTTCGCTCTAAGCTCATAGGTCTTAGCAAAGAGGTATCTTCAATTTTCCAATGAGCAAAGGGGTTTTCGTCGCTTATCCTCTGTTTCTCCTCCAGCTCCGACAGGTCGTCGGCGTCTTCTCCGACGGTGCGCTCCATCGTGCTTTTGATATTAATCGAAGTATCGGTATCCTTCACAGACCTAAAAACACGGTGCCGAGCATATGTGAGGAGGGAAGGAGGGGGGAGTTTAAAGCCACTGCGGGAAGGCGAACGAAGTGGAGTTGTGCCCAAGTTTGATTGGCTGTCATTTTGCGCAAGCGCGCTGATGCACGAAATATCGTGCGAAAACTCTCAGACCATTTGTATTTTGCGTACACACAGCTCGAGATTAAATGAGAAATTAAATTCCAATTACAAACAAGTAATTTACAGAAGTTTTAAAATAACGTTTTATGCTGCGTGTTTTGCTGTAAAAATAGTTTAGACTGCCAAAACTGGGAGAAGAGAATGAAGAGCGTGAATATACAGGGTGTCCCATTTTAATCGATCACCCCTCGTAACTTTACAGGGAGCGGTCGTAGAGAAAAATGTTTCAGGCAAAAGTTGTATGGCTTTAAGGGGGACATAAGGTGGTGTCATTAATTTGACCTTGAATAGTTGCTTGAAAGTCGCGTGAAGGTCACCTCCATTTTTTTAAACGGAACCCCCTATTGTTTATTATACTATTTAACTATATTAATTAACAGGAACAACTTTTGTTCGAAACATTTTTTTATTTGCCTAATACTTTTTGAGATATTGAAGAGAAAATTTATAACTTTTTCACTGTTTGCCTTATGATATCTCGATAACTGTTTGTCGGAGGGAAAAGTAGTACGGGACTTTTTTTACTTGATTTGGTCTCAGGAATATGCTGCTGCAATTATAGTGTTCCAATTATTGAAAATTTTTGTGTATTGCAACATACACAAAATTTACATAGAGAGAGAGAGAGAGAGAGGGGGGGGGAGGAGCCAGTCAACGCTTTTGTACTCTCCCAGCATGCATGTCTAAAGCCTGATCTACAATGTGTTCTCTGCATCTAGAGGCATTATATTTTGTAATCAATAAATACGTTTAAAAAATTTGTGCAAGCTGATCAATTCCTCGATAAAAATATTTATAACATTATGTGACGAAATCTGAATGAAACCTGGAATTATGCGCACACATTTCGAAAACATATGCAGAAATGGAGACCCCCTTTCGTCAAATATTGATAAATACTTGCCCAATGTATTTCTAGTAATTTCCACATGGTGTGTCAGCAAAACAGTTGCGTTTTGGCGAATCACCTTGGCAGAAAATATTTGCGCAATCAAATTGCTGTCGTGTTACGACAAGCTGCCGCTACGAGGCGTCGCACACTCGTAAGTAAAATTCACGCGAGACGAGATAAAAGCAGGCTCAACGGTAAACGCGTCCGATGCTAAATCTTTTTTAAATACGTGTTACACGTGAGTGTATCGCTGGGTAGTTTTGCGACTAAATGTCGAAATAACCGCGTGCACAATTTATTCCCTAAATGCGTTGCGTTTTAGCGAATCATCTTAATACGATCATTATGAGATTTCTTCCGTTCTTCCTATCGGGTTAAAACGTCAAACCTATAAGATTACCTAGATTAAAGTTAATCCACATGTCGGAAATCAGACAGCTTGCGTCCACTGGTCCACTTGCATAAATGTAGATTAACTTTAATCCACATTTAACCTGCCCTCTAAAAAATTAAGAGAAATCTCTGAATTTCATCAACGTCGACCAGTCTCGTCTCAACTTAATAATTTATTTCCAGTTTTTTTCCCCAGTTCTAAAAATAAACGCGTCCGATTTCGTATACCGTTATTTCTCCGGAATAGAGACAGATAAGCGAAACCGAGATTAAAGCCCGAGCCTGTCGATCTATTCCAATCCTCGGGGGGTCGCGATCCTCGATCCCCGTGTCGCTCAGTCTGACGCAGTCTGACACGGGCCTTTAGACCAGACGTGTGGTTACTCGGGCGAAACACGCGAGCGCTGACGGCACGGACTAGAACGTAATTCTCTCGAGCGGCCCCCAGCAAGTACACTCCAACGGAGAACCTAAGAAATCTCAGTGACGCGCAAATGTGAATACCGCGGCAGCGTCGTCGTGCGACTGGTACGTACGTGTCGAAGACCCGGACGCGTTCGCGCTGGCGCGCGCGGACGTGCCCGTCGGTTCTGTCGTTCATCCAGTGTCGAGTCTCACGCCTGTTGCGCGTCTTTGCGCGTCTTCGTGCAACGCTTTCGGATTTTTTTTTTCGTCGTAGCGTCCGCGAGACGATCCCGCGAGCTCGGCCCGTCGCGCGCGACCTCGACGAGGAAGAGTCTGGCACGCGACAGGCTGTACGGTAGAAAGAGACTATAACCTGCAAATATCCGAGGTTAAAGTCCAAAGTCGGGGCGCGACTCGCGAATGCTCGGTGTGCACGCGTTTGTCGCCTCTTATGTAACGGGTCACGTTTTATCAAGCGGCCGTAACGTCACCGCGCGGTCGCGACTTCCGCGAGACGTTCGATCCCGCGTGATTCCCGCCGGACGAGACGCGACCGTGACGCGAGGGTCGCGTCGAGTCGTTCTTCTCTCCGGAGGCGAAGGTCCGTTCAGCGACGACTCGCGGATCCGTTATGCTTGGCACTGTCTCTCGGTTGACACGTGGCTTAAAACAACAATTGTGCCACCTGATAACTGTCAGAATTCCTTAATCGCTTTTTTCGCCCTCAAACGTGTTTTTGTACCGAGAGAAAGAAAAACGGGGATTTGCAGCGAGAACCTGCCACTGGAACTCTTCCCTCTTTGCAGATTAGCGGTCAATCATATTTATTCTGAATCATGTCGCAATACGAAGACGTCATCCTGGAAGCCAAGGAGAAGGAGGAAAGTTTACCGCTGGAATTGGGAGGAGTGCGGCATCGCATCCCGTGGAGCGACCGCGTGTTGCTGAACAGCGAGATACCTGGTTTGTACGAGGTTAAAGAGTTGTTGGACGACGATGACGCGAGCTGCCTGGCGGAGGAGGAGGACGGAGTCGGGTGTCCGTTGCCCTCGACGCCGGAAGATGATCATCTCTTGGATTGTGAGGTGCGTGGGTCGCTTTCCCTTGCCCTAAGAGCAAAGATAAACCACTTAGAGTATTGCGGTGTATATATTTCGGGCGTTACTGGGCATTACTAGGCATTTTGGGGCATTAGTGGGAGTTATTTGGCCTTGCTGAGGCATGATAGAGAATCTAAAGAGACAAAAAGATAAAGTAAGGAATGCCCACTGGGCATTAGTAGGCATTGGTGTACATGAATTCACGTACAACTAACAGTTGAACGGTCTATTGTTTATATATTACAGATGACCGAGGTGTTGAAGGCGGGGGTACTGAGCGACGAGATCGATTTAGGTGCACTAGCGCATAATGCAGCAGAGCAGGCCGAGGAATTTGTTCGGAAGGTAAAAGGATACCCAGCTGTCTAGACAACGATGTTGCAGCGAGAATACTCTTTCGCCGGATAATAGAAAGCTAGCGATCGGAATTAATCTACATTGTAATTCAATCGGCAAATTTAAAGCTGGAGATGTTATTTGTAGGTGTGGGAGGCGTCATGGAAACAGTGTCATTTTAGGAATCTACCAAGATGGTTGCAGGATAACGATTTCTTGCACGCTGGCCACAGGCCGCCTTTGCCCTCGTTTTATGCGTGCTTTAGGAGTATTTTTCGAATTCATACAGAAACCGGCAATATCTGGACACATTTACTAGGTACGTTGCTTTCTATTAGAACGGTATTAACAATAAGTAACACGTAGACGTTTCGATGATTACTCTCTGGGGGAGAGGGGAAGGAAGCATATATATACATATTAGCCACGGTCGGCAGGCACAACTGTTGAGTGAGCGCTCAATCATTTCTTAACACAATTGGCTGGATCTAAAAGTATTAACCAATCATACTGAGCGCTCACTCAACAGTTGTGTCTGCTGAATTGGCCGCGTTCAGCAGACACAACTGTTGAGCGAGCGCTCAGTATGATTGGTTAATACTTTTAGATCCAGCCAATCATATTACGAAATCGTGGAGCGCTCACTCAACAGTTGTACCCGCTGAACGTGGCCCCTGTAATCAGAGATTGGCCATAAGAGTTCGTCAAATTTCCACGAGTGAGAGAGATACATAGGCTGTTCTACCATCGTAAACTCGTAGAAGAGTGAGATAGCCTATGTTTCTTTCTCATTCGCGGGAATTTGACGAACCCTTATGGCCAGTCTCTGATTACAGAGTCTCTAGTTTTAAGTATATTCTGTGAGTTTTGGTTGTCGATTTCGCTCATGAAAATGTTTTATTCTTTACAGGCTGCGTTGCCTTTATTGGTATAGCTATATTTTTTCTAACGCAACCTCCTGTAGAAATTCAACTGGAGGAAAAATTGGTGTTTGGTACCTTCTTTGCTGGTGCTATACTTTGCCTAGGAATGTCATTTGCCTTCCACACAGTTCATTGCCACAGTGAATGCGTGGGAAAGCTATTTTCCAAGCTAGATTATTGTGGTATAGCTATGCTTATTATGGGTAGTTTTGTACCATGGCTTTATTACGGATTTTATTGCGACTATCAACCTAAGCTAATCTATCTGTCTGTGGTGGTTGTCCTCGGTATAACCAGCATCGTAGTCTCATTGTGGGAGCGATTTGGCGAACCAAAATATCGTCCGCTCAGAGCCGGAGTTTTTATGGGTTTTGGACTTAGCGGGGTGAGTTATCTCTTTTAACCGTTTACACATATCTTAAAACTTTAAATTTTAATTCCATATCTGATTACATCTAACTTATTATTGTTGCGTATTTAGGTGATACCAGCTGTACATTATGCCGTCGCCGAAGGTTGGTTCAAGGCGATTAGCCAAGCCTCCCTTGGATGGTTAATACTAATGGGATGTTTGTACATATTAGGCGCGTTATTTTATGCTTTAAGGGTACCTGAACGATTTTTCCCAGGAAAATTCGATATTTGGGTGAGCAGTGTTAAAATCGATTTACAGCGACTCGGACTATTTGGATATCCATAGGTTATATTTTAATAATTTAATTTTATAGTTTCAGAGTCATCAAATCTTCCATGTATTAGTGATCGCAGCTGCTTTTGTTCATTATCATGGCATTACGGAAATGGCAATGCACAGAATGACAATAGGCGACTGCACAAATCCATCGCAGGTGTTGGCTTTTTAAATCTGCGAGCATATACCTTCATCTTGTTGATAACTTTCATATGTCATTAATCTAATAAGACTACAAAGATTCCTAAATCTTACGCCAGCATATTTGTGCTGTTGAAAGATGTGGTAAACCTGTAAAATAGATACATTTAATTTCAGATTTATGTTAGAATATATTTTAGAATATTTGTTGCTCGTTTATTTAATTGAATTATTATATTTTATTATTAATTTTTAAGCTACAAGTTATTTTTTGAGGATACCTATTTAATTGCGAGCTGTAAGTTACTTTTTGAAGATACTATGTAATTACAAGGTGTTTGATAGCCTTGAGTTTACTTGAACTGTCTTTCAAATTAATAATACAATTTGGATGTATACTGATACACATGCGATTGATATATTTCTTTACAATTAAACGAATTCGACATCAATAAAACTTTACGTATGCGGTAAATTTAAGTGCGCGTGTAACTACATTGAAATACAGTATTCAATCTGCAGTTCTCTTGAACTTCTCTAAATATGAGACGTGAAAGTCTACATATCATTGTATAATCTATCGAATTCGGATACTACAAATGAAATGGAAGTTCGACAGAAGTACACAATGTAAGTTTTTACATGGGCATGTATTACTTATTTTTTGATTTTGGAAATTATTTTACAAAATTATATGGATATTTATGTACATTTTCCTTATATTTTTCTCTTTATTTCCGTACATTATATTATGCTATGTTACTGTTATAGTAAAAATAGCAGAAATAGTTTTAATTAATTATTATTACAAAAAGTTACAATCAGAGCGTTTTGGATTACTGAAATATCCAAGCATTATTTTGAATCGCGCGCTTTGATAAGAAATAAAAATACTACCTGTTTTCCTATATGAAATTTATATATTTAAAATAATATGCGAGACGCGAAATACAGACAATAGGCAACGAAAACGAAACGCGTATGTGACTAAGATTTAGGAAGCAACCGTTGCTACATGAACGATTTTGTAGCATAATACTGTAGCATAAATACTGTAAAGTCTATATTTTGAACAAAGTCATTGTTAAAATAATATATGAAATTTGTTTAACATATACTATCATTTTATATATGTATGTATATATATATAAAATGCGTAATGTACCAATCTAATTTTTTCAAATGTATTTCTCATTTTCCAATTTGTACACCGTATTCAAAGTTCTTAATATATAGAATTCTGATTATATATTTATATATATACACGTATATATATGTATATATCAGATGTATCAAAAAGATTTGGTATATAAAAGGACTCTGAAAGGGAGTGGGACGTTGTTTAATCTTTGAATTAAACATGACTAACTTATATTCTGGGATTTAATTAATTACATCAAAGTACCACTCAATTGCCATTCCTAACGAATCCCGATCCCTAATGATTTTCTAATGGTTTCCACTCCCTCTTAAATCGAATCCGAATCTTCAAAAATGTACAATGTGTACACTGAGGGGGAAACCGTTGTGGGCATTGTGGTGTACAAATTTACGACATTACTGGGCATTACTAGGCATTTTTTGGGCATTAGGCCCTGCTGGGGCATTATAAAGATATAACAAGATAAATAAGATAAAGTAATGCCCACTGGGCATTAGTGGGCATTGGTGTACAAGATTTTGGTCAGCGGTTTCCCCCTCGGTGTACACCGAGTATATAGCGTTTAATTTTTTACGTTTATCGTCTTTGAAGATCTCGTCACTACAGCAGGAGGAGGACGGTATTGAGAGAAGTTACGAAATAGCCACAATTAAAATATTTGATAAGTTAATTATTGATAAATTAATCACTAACTCATCGGAGTTCGAACAATGTCTTGTCATTTCTGTCAACGCAGGTCAACTTTAAAGGTTCGCAACCTGTTCTATGAATGAGGAAACCGGTTTAACTTACTTGCCGTCTCTTTTTCCAATTCTTCGAATTAGAAATAGATTAAAACGTAAGTGAAACCGAGACCAAGTTAATCTACGTTAGAAATGGACGCAAGTCGTTTCAAATTGGGGGAACGTGATTCGCGAGACGTAAAGCGGTTTACCTCTCACTTTAAATCGCCTTTCTTGTATCGGAAGGCGCGTATTGCAATTCTCTAATATTTTATCTAAATATTTGCGAAACAAAGAGGCGAGTCTACACAAATGCATTATCAGTTTCATTTTAGAGCGGAGCCGCTGCACATACAGAGACGCGCGCTGACAAAAGTAAAAATATTTTCATTATTACAACTGTTATCCAGCATTACGCTATCGCTGTGCATTGTAACAATATAATATACAGCGAAAAGTGGGAAGTCACGAATTAATATTTGACGTGTGTGCTTTCCAGGATTCGGAGCGTGTCATTGCGGAGAATCCATCGCGGAGTTTCCGGGCGAGAGGTACACCCGTTGAGGCCTGGCCCTCCTCTTCCGCGAGGGGGAAACGACTCGCCTCGTCGCGGTCGCGTCGACGGGGGTCACGGAGGAGGGAACGGGAGTTCGGACATAAAAGTTGAAGCGATATCGAGTGCGTAGCGCACTCTACGACGGAGGCGAAAGAAGAGACCAGCGGGCTGCGGCCGTCGAAATTTTCTCCTCTGCTCGCTCTCCCTCTCGACGCGACTGGCGGCCACCCCCATCGCGAGGAACGACCGACTGTTGCGAACACGGTCAGTCGACGACACGACAGGACAGCGCGAGGAGGTCTCCGTCGTCCTGGTCCAGCTCGAAGAACAGTCGTTCTCCAGTCGAGGATCAGAAGTGGAGGTCAGAGGAGATAGCTCGATTATCGCTCCACGATATCTCAAGCAGATCATCAGCGATACGTCATGTGTGTACGCACGTTGGGTAACGAGACCAGTGAGCCGCTCGCACCGAGCACCGTCAGCTCGAAGCAGTGTGGCAAGACGTCCCGCGCCAGGGAGAAGTACATGAAGCTCTACGAGGAGATGCTGGAGAAGGAGCAGCATCAGCGTCGGCGGGCGCAAGCGGACGAGGACGCGCTCTACCTGCCCGATCTCGCCGACGACGTCCTGATGGCCAGCACCAATCACTACAGTCTGCTGCTGAAGAAGGTGTCCGCGTGCTACGAGGTCGCACGCCGCTCCAAGGCGTTCAAGTGAGTACAAACGGTCCCCTCCGCCGTGGTTTTCCAGCGTGTGAATTGACCTGGAGAAGGGTGGCGGTTTTTCTTCTCTCTTACGAAGACGAGGATCCCGTCGCGATCCTCTCTCTTTGCCTCTCGTCTCATCTATTCTGCTTCGCTCTCTTCCACCGCAGGTTCCGCGACGGCGAATCCCTGGGCTCGGCGGAGTCGGCTAGGCGAAACGGTGAGCTCCTGGGGTCCGCGCGAAGGTCTCGCGGATTTCCTAGCTTCCTACTATCTACTATCTCAGTCCACTCCTGGACGTAGGCCTCTTCCAGGAGTACGCCTGTCGACATGGTTTTTCTGGGGGGGGGGGCAGGGGGGCATGCTGGCATGTAAGGACCTCTTTCACCAACCTCGGCTGGATTGGCCGACGGTCAAAATTTACAGGGTGCCGTAGAGATGACGGATAATCACTTTCACCGCTATTTTCTGTTAGCACCCTGCAAATTTTAACTGTCGATTAACCGTGATTGGTAAAGGAGGTCCTAAACGCTATAACGCTTGCCAGGGACTAGATTCTACTTTTGCAAGTTGATTGGTTATCGCATGGTCTTTTAGTCAGTCGACTTGCAACTTTTCTGCAGGAGCAGAATTCGCGCGTACGTTTCTCTTGCGGACGAATTCAGGAATTTAGCGCCAGGCGTGTCGGCGAGTGCCTGTTGTTTTACCAGGGACAGACTCTCCCTGTCTCAGTACCTGATTTTTGAGCCTTGGACCTTCCTCTACATATATATAGATAGATACCCAGCAAACATAGAACATTGCGCAATATTGTAGCAACGTTGTTTCAATGTTCTGTGTTTGCTGAGTATGTATACATATATATAGAGAGAGAGAGAGAGAAAGAGAAAGAGTAAGACATTCCTGGGAGGTTACTGGTTCCTTCCAAAAGGTAGCTTTCTACGGCGGATTCTTCTCGCTAATTTCACAAGCGAGAAACTTGTGTATTTAAATCATTCGCAGGTCTTGAAGAAGCTACGAGGGACCTACGTTTGCGGCGCGTTACCAGGCCTGCTCTCGGGAGGTTCCCGTAGCGAAGCATAATCCACCATGCGCTCGTCGCGATTTGCAAGAACTCGGTACACGCAGTGTCTTCGCGTACGCGACGTTCTTGCAGTTTGAATGATCGTTCCACGATAGCCTGTTCTCGTTACACTTGTTACTCGACACGCGTATCGACGAACGCGAACAATATGTGCGACGTTCACAACACATAGAAACGATCTCTGTACGTTTCGCCGCGCACGGTTTCTCCGTAAGTAACGTTTGCTACGATGCTCCGCGGAAGATTGCTGTATAATCGAGTCCTCGTGACGTAATAACTTCAACTTTAATGAACGATCTCGCGGCGATGCTGTCGAAAATTTCGGCGATAAAGAAGCCTCCTTTGCTCGGGGAGCAAAGGTTCGCCGCGGTTTGGGACGCAAGACGCGGCTTTGATTGGCAATTAATTTCTTTTCCCACAACTATCTCCACGCGGAAAGTCAGTTCTCCAGATTCCTAGGTGTGTCTAGAGATGAAATAATCGCGCGATCCTTAAGAATCTTAGCAAACTGACTGCGTTTGAGACAGTTTTGTGTTTAAGTCTTTAGCCTGGTTTACGCCGATCGTTTGATACGCGTATCAAATTGCGCCGATCGGCTGAAATGACTAAGTCCATTTACTAGTTATTTACTATCAAACAATCGGTGTGAACTATGCCTGTGGCTTAAGTAACGCACGATAAGGACCTGAGCAGAATGGCGTCGTGCGTTACTTTAAGACAAGGACTTGCAACATAAAACATTGTTTCAAGAGTATAAGACGGCCGTTCTGCTCAGGCCCTAAGGCTCGGTTTCACCGACGTTGTTTAACTTTAAGCTTAGTTTACTTCGTTCTTTGTCTCTTTCCAACTGTTACTTTAGAAAGAGACAAACACGAATTCAACTAACAATAAGATAAAAGTTACACGACGTTGGGTGAAACCGGGCCTAAGTCTCCTCTACAAGACAGATGCAAAAGCAGCTTTAAAAAATCGGATGTTATTTACATATCACGCTATTGTCGCCCTAACAATCACAGATGTTCGGCGCACATTTAAGTACGATAAGATTTAATTAATTCTGATATAAGAATCTCGACTTTTGATATCTAAAAGCAATAACCGCAGTCGAGTGTATTTTTCAGTTTTATCGAAATAGATCATCGCGCTAGAATGTCAAAAATCACTCGTCGTCGAGTTGCATCGCGTCTGTATCCTGGGACGTTTTTCATTGAATTCCGGATAAAAATCCACAATCGCAGACGGATGTTATAAGCCGAGATGACGTGTAGGTCGAAAGTCTTCCGCGTTTACGCGATAAATTTTTCACACACTATCTATGACGCACTTATAACATCCGTGTGCTTCTTTTTCATTTGCACGGTTTATCTGTCTTACGTCGACGCGCGTCTGCCGTCTATTTCCATTAGTTATTAACTTATTACGACAATGCTCGATTGACTGTATGCGCGCAAAAAGAAGTTTCGTTATCGATAAGAGGATCAAGGTGTTGACGTATCCGTTTTAATCTTCCAGACCAAATGAGACATGACGTATCCATTGAAAAGAGATCAGATTAGTCTTGACACGCTGCAAAAAAACTATTATAAACAACAATTTGAGTAGCTTTCTGTCGCCAGTGGTAATCAGCCAAGGGGAATGTTTTAAAAAATCGACCAAACTGGCGAAATTGATGTGTGACTAAAATAAACATTAATTTTGCCAGTTTGGTCGATTTAAAAAAAAAATCCCCTTGGACGATTATAAACGCTCCGATTCTTTCACATTCTTGTACGCATCTTTTCAGAACTTAAAACTTAGTTGGAGATATTTCTATTTTTATACAGAAAATCTAAATGTAAAGTTGCACGTAGCATATTATCTTCGTCGGAAGTTTTTGCTAATGTCGTGGCTAAGTGGTTTTTTCCCCGAGGTCGTTCTTGCGCTCTTTCCCTCCTTCCCAGATATTTTTGGAACTGCCAGAGTTTCAACGGCGCGTCTTTAAAGAAATGGAAAAGTTTTACGGGCCTCCCGACAAATCATCTTTCATTCGGAAAGATACCGAAAGATAGGCGCACTGATAACGTGACGCTTCAACAATTCCGTCGCGGGCTTATTTCTTAATCGAGTTTCGTGAAGGAGAGGGTCTGCGTGACCGGGCAAATCCATGATCTGTGGTCGATCGCCGCAATTGTCCCGTGCGTTAACACCAGGCGTCCATAATTAGCCGTTCAAGTAACGATTATGTGTCTACGGCGCGTCTCGTGCGAGAGACTACAGGCCGATGACTGCGTCCGTGTCGCGTAATCGCACATTCTCTCGGAAGATAGAGAACGGAACAATGTGCACAGCCTTGCGAAGGACGCGCGAGCGGCGAACTCCAGCTTTTTTCCCAACTCGTCCCCATCCGCGCGGAGGGGATTCGTCAATCTCCTTTTTCGTCGCGTTCCGCACTCCCTCAGGATATTTATCGTCCCCCAGGTATCCCCTTTTATCGGGCCGTGCCATAAATAATGCGGTGTAAAAGGCAGGCCTGATTTATTCCTCAGCTCGCGAAACCGAAAGACTCTCGGCGCCGGGGAGTGGAAAATTTAGGACCGAGCTGAGGTCGTAAATAATAATGGAAAGTATATTTCGGGTCGAAATTAAAATGTCATAGTTTTGTTTTTGGTTGCGTTTCAATGGGTATCTCCAAAGAGCCGCATTAACCGCGGGATGACCCAATATATCTTGCATCTGTAACGGATAGAATTGTATCTTTGTAAATAGCACACGGAGAGAATTTTCTCTCAAAATTTATCCCGAAAATCATATAATCGTGGGACATGGCGTTTCGGAGAATCTTATGAGTTTTTGAAACTTTACCACACATTTTATTATTAAAAAATACTCTCATAAAGTTGTTGAAAATTCCACGCTGTCCCACGATTACATGAATTTCAGGGTAAATTTTAAGAGAAAATTCTCTCCGTGCACGTTGAACGAGCCTCTTTTCCATCCGGAAGATGGTTGCAGTCTGGACCGGCGAATATTTCGGGCTCGAGCTGCTCCAATAAAACTACATATTTTATTACAAAGATAAGGATGTAATTCGACGCGGGGACGCGGTTACGCGATTTCTATTGGGCAATCCAGATGTAATTTATAGTAGCGGATCGAGTTTCTCGCCGGGCGCTTCATTACGTTAATCGTTGCGTCGCGCAAATTATCATCCACGGCGGCAAGCGTAATGCGTGCGCTTTTCGCGCGCGAGGCGTCGATAATTCTTGTTTGCACAAGCATAATGGAAGATAATGGACTTCCTCTCGCCCGCTGGAATTGCATACGTGCGCATTCTCGGGCCCCGGCAACACGACTCCAATAAAAAGGATATAATTACAGGCTCCGGGTGCCCCAGGCGACCGCAGGAACTCGTTCGTGACACAAAGGCGCGGGGCAGTATCTCGTCGAGGGACCGTTCTTTATTAAACGCCCCGGCCCGTTGATCGATTATTCGAGCGTCTCGAGGCTGCAGCCTCGAAATTGCTTAATTTTCTCTAATAATTACTTTCGCGAAACGGTCGCGCTGACGCTGCTTCAGCGCACGGACGACGGTCGGCCGATCAAAGAAGAGAGATCGCGCCGTTATTTATATATTTCTTCGACTTATGCATTTATATATTTAAAATTAAATTTTTCGCGACGCATCGTAAATTTCGCATTGTCGTAACACGAAGATAGGACACTGCGGGCATCGTGTACAGTGACCGAATGGCTGCAACACCCTTCTTTTAAACGAGTTTAGGAACGTGCATTTAGATTCGGGTGGCCAATTCTGTATCTTGCACTATAGTGAAAATGCCAAAAGTGAGTGGCCTTGTCTCTTTCTAACTGTCCCTTTAAGAAGAGACAAAGCCGCTCGCTTTTAGCATTTTCACTGTGTGTTGCAAGATACGGAATTGACCCCCTGGTTTATATTCCAAAACATTTTCTACGAGGAAAATTTTACTCGAGAAATAGATCGGAAACGCTCGAAATGGTTTCGGAATGGCCATCGAGTAAAATAGTCCTCGGAGAAGAAGAATTTGGAACGTAGCCTAAAAAAGACTGTACAGTGATGGACAGAATGATTGTAACACGTTTTTTTTTTAAATGAGTTCAGAAACGCGCATTTAGACTCAGGTTTACGTTCCAAAACATTTTCTGAGGAAAGTTGTACTCGAGAAATAGAGCGGAAACGCTCGAAATGGTTTCGTAATGGCCGTCGAGTAAAATGTTCCTCGGAGAAGAAGATTTTGGAACGTAACCCTGGATCTAAATGCACATTCTTAAACCCTTAAAAAAATTGTCGCAGGCATTCTGTTCACCAGTGTTCAAGATGAATCACCGGTAAAACGAAACCGTGTCGAATCAGTTTCTGCTCGAGTTTCTACGCGCGGGCCTAATTAGCGGAGTAGATATTATCAGCGTATTAGTAATAGCCGATCGTTTTTGATAATCGATGACGCGCGACCAGCAGACCTCAAGGATCTCTTTTTATAGAAATATCGCTCTAACGCGAGAGTTTAGAGGGGACTTCTGCCGCAGGATGTGCCCGACATGCGTTCTATTTGCCACCTCGCAGTTGGCTGGCAGTTCGCCAAGCTGGACACACCTTTCGCATCTTCAAAGAGTCTGCAAATGAAGCTTGACTACGCGATTTTGCTCGTTTTGCCCGAGCGGTCCCGTTACACCGCGCGGCCGGCGTTTCCATTAACACCCGGCGTCACGGGGCAGCTCTTGCCGCTTTTGTTCTTTATGCGCAAACTACTCGGTTCGTCGGGCCATCGTTTATTCCACTTCTTCATCCATGATTCATTTATTTATCGAATCCTTAATTAAAAGTCCTATTTGAATACCCTCAACGGTATGCATTTTCAATCGTTGGCGACGCTTTATATTTTCCTCCTCTCCGTTTCGACGCTGCTTTAATTTGTTGCGTCAAAATTAATTTAATGTATTTATTATTAATTTAATATGCATTACTCTGGGAAAAAAGACAGCAACCCATTTTGGGGCCCACAATTAATAGTCGAATTATTTGAATTATTCGTAACACTCTACTGTGGGACCAAAAAGACAGTTAGCAACCCATTTTGGGGCCCACAATTAGTAATCGAATTATTTGGATTGTTCGTGACTCTAATCTTTTACGAATTTACCCCGCGTAACTAAAAATCGCAATTAGCTATTCTATCTATATCCAAGATTTTTACGTAATACCAATCAATTCTCTCAATTAGTTCTGTCGATATTCAGTAACGCAAAGATAATTTTCACTTACGAAGCACTAACCGAAATGTTGAGTTGCTTAACTACAAAAAAAACGGTCAAAATTTTTCCCAGAGTCGAGTTTCCATCAGAGTACTCTGGGAAAAATTTTGACAAATCTTGGATATAGATAGAATAGCTAATTGCGATTTTTCGTTACGCGGGGTAAAATTCGTAAAAGATTAGAGTTACGAACAATTCAAATAAATCGATTACTAATTGTGGGCCCCAAAATGGGTTGCTAACTGCCTTTTTATCCCAGAGTACCCACGCAAAAAATCGGGCGACAAAAATTTGTTTAGGATCCAGTTGCACGTCGGGATTAACGCGACGATATTTAATGCAGAGATAAAACGGCGGGACCGGACGTGTGCAATAGAGATTCGCTCGAGCGTATCAGCCTCGCGTCATTAATAAAATCAAAGTGGACTGATTTTGCGGATCATTCGCGGCCGCGATCCGAACAGCGGGTCGTGCGTGCCTGCTCGCACGTTTCCCAGTGCCGCTTGATAATGCCCGATGCACCTACACGCGAATGCTCGTCGCACACGCATAGGTTCACAGCACGTCGAATTACGGCCGCGTATCCGGACCTGACCCTCGACTCTCCCTTTCGCGGTTCCTCTGTTCACGAGAGTGGATGATAAATGGAGGAAAGAGCCTCTTTCCTCCCATCGAGGAAATTAAAAATAGGAAAAAAGGTAGAGAAAGCGGAAATAGAAAGAAAATGAAGTTAACTCGCTGGCTTCTTTCTCTTCTTCCTATTTTTTTCGACAAAAAGCGGAAAGTCGAATGTAATCCATTGCGAATACACGCGCATTATCTGAAATAGGAAGATACGCATTTACGTAAAATGAAATAAAGGGACAAAATTCCACGTAATTTTAGAATGGAGGAATAACGGGGAAATAGATTTGCCGTGGAAGGTTTTCAGATTCACGGAATATACCCGTTGCAGCGTATTGCGAATTTTCGCGCAATCTGCACAAATAAATCTTATTAATCGCTAATCAAGTCTCCGTATCGTCGGGACGTCTGCATCGTACATTTCAAAAATATATTATATCGCGCGCTTATCACGCGCGGTGCCAAAAAAAATGGTGACATCCAAGAAACAAAGATGTTCGTCGACCTTCTCCGACGGGGTTTAGACGTGACGCAAAGTGCTCACGTGGGCAAAAATTGTGCGCCTCGCGCGCACCCGTTCGTGTCGAAATTTCGATTTTGCAATCTCGAGGCGGCAGCTGCGCGTATGTATGTACAAAAAGACTCGCGCCGCAAGTCGCCCGTGCCGATGACTTCTGGCTGACCTCGCGGTGATTAATCGACGCTTGAAGGGGATTGGCGATCAGTGCGATCACGCACGCCTTATTGTCACAGATGTTCCTTATCGTCGAGTCAATCGAGAGCAAGTCGCCAGGACAAATTTCTCCCGGCACCCCTCGTCATTTTATTTCGCGAATGCGAAATTAGCCCAAGGTAGAGACCCTGTAATCAGAGACTGGCCATAAGAGTCCGTCAAAGTCCGTCAAACTCCTACGAGTGAGAGAGAAACATAGGCTTCTACGATCGTAGAAGAGTGAGACAGCCTATGTTTCTCTATCATTCGCGGGAATTTGATGAACTCTTATGGCCAGTCTCTAATTACGGGGTCTCTAGCCCAAGGATGAGACGCGGCTTGGTCCACCCCAGTGAGAAATGATCGACGTCGATCGACGAATCATTCCTCACTGGGACGGGCGGCTTTTTCTTATCTGGTTAATGAGAGAGAAGTAAGTTTTCTCCTTGCGGGAACGTCTCTCTCTCTCTCTCTGTCACGCGCACTATTGACGCAATTGCGCAAATTACACGTCGGCAAAGATTATACAAGGTTGTTTATACAACGACGCGTGGCATCATCGAGCCTCCCTACGACTCGCGTCTGAAAATTTCGCAAGTGCCCCCTCGTCGATCATTGAACGGCGAGCATAAAGAGTCTCGTGCCGTGGAGGACACGTAATTATTTGTTTGTTGTAAAAATTTGACGAACAAGCGGGGACGATTAAGATAATTTCGTGCCTCGTCACGCTAAACTGAGCGCGGTTGTACCTGCATTAAGTCACGCGTTAATTCTTGCAACGGGACAAGCAGCTGCCCCGGCCTGCAAAGCAAATAGAATTAATTTGAATAAGTTTCTCGCCTTTTGTATAAGGAATTTAAATCGATCGGAAACGCACGTTCTCGACTTGCTGCAGAAAGACGCGGGGTACGTTCTCGTGCTTCCAGTGTCCATCCTTCATAAACCCTGCGAGACACTTCGGAGAATTTCGAGAAAGGGTCACGCACGCGCGCGCACGCTCATGTGACATGCAAAGGAATTATTTCCCTTTCGTCTTTAATATGCCGCAGGCAGTGCGTTTGCATCCCCAGCGGGAAGCGCCTGATGAAATTTAATAACGCATTCTCCAGCTTCCCACGGCGTCTTTTTAACATTCGCGTCTCACGCGGAATACAAATGACAATAATTATATTCCTCCCGATGTCTCGCGCTCACGTGTAACGTTCTCGAAATAACCGCTCTATCTCTTTCTCTTTAACTTTATCTCGCGTCGCGTCCAGTCGATGATAACAAATGTATCATAATTACAGGAAAGAGATTACGCGTTACGCAATGTTTTATATGTGAAATTATTCCGCTCGAAATTTGGAGCGAGGTACAGATGTCAATCGCGATATCGCGATTACGAAGGAGTTAGAGCACCGCCAGGCGCCTCCGGCCTCCCGGCAGATTTATTCGGCTTTGACGTCACGCCACGCATAAATCAGCGCTAATTGAGGCGCGCCGCGGGGATTACTTAACGCAGAGCCGCACGTGACGAAAATTGAACCGGTCGTTGATATCGCCAGGCCGCGCATATGAATCCACACGTGAAGGCAGTCTGCGAATTACCTAATACGGCAGTTTCCTCGCGCTGCGAGATATCGCGCGTATCTCGCAAAAATTACATTAGATTTATCAGCTCGAATTTTCCAGCGCCGCGGCGATAAGCCTGTTCGCGAGAAGAGATCTGACGTCGGCCGGAGTGTAAATTATCAGTCGCGCACGGCGATAAATTATATAATTAAGTGTAAATTATCAGTCCGCGATGTTTTGCAATTGACATCCCCGTAAAGTTGTCCCCGCGTAATCGGCAGGCGAAAACTTATCGTGTCTGTACTTGTCGTTTTGCAGGATCCTCTTTTACACGACGCAACCCGCACACGTTATCACGATCGCCGCTGTCTTGTTCGTGACGTCGGTTCTCTTTCCGTTCAAGGGGAGGGCACAGGTCTCCAATCAATCCCCTTACTCGAGAATAATGTCCTTCATTTATCTCGCATCCTTCGTCGTACATTTTGGTGCTCAGATCTGGATGACTTTCGTATCGGGTACGTATCCCTCGCTTCACTTTGTTCTCCAATCGATTCAAACTGACTTTCTCTGAAATAATATGATTTATTTGCAGGCCTGTCCTTATACTTTGCGCTGCCGCGGCACGCATTCGGCGAGGTCCAGCGCGTTCTGTTTCCGAGGTACTTCACGATTAACGCGTGCCTCAGTCTCATCACGCTCCTCATATTTGTCAAGCGTCATCCGACGCATACGTGGGACACTGAGATCGCCGTTCAGGTATGTGGGAAAGAAGCTCGCAATAGTTGACATTGAATCAAGTGAGATAATCTGACTTTTTTTCACCGAAGCTCAATTCTTATTTTATCTAAATAAATTTAATAAAAGATTCTCGGACAAGCTGAAACTTGTGTTATGCCGCAGGTTGGTGCAATGTCCGGGGCCTTTTTCTTGGAGCTGCTGATACGCCTCTACCTGACACCTCCGCTTCTCCAGCTGATCGTGCAGAAAATCAACTTCGAACGCGCGGCGGGCGTCGGCAACGAGATAGGCCGTCACAACCCTGGACCGCTCAAAAATTGTACGCATTACCTGAAGATCCACCGAGCGTTCCGCCGAGTGCACGTGTGCATAGCCATGGGAAATATGCTCACTATGGCGTGCACGGTACTTCATCTCTATTATATAGCGAGCAAATTGTGTGCCTTGTAAGAGCAATTGGTTTTCGGTCGTCGGATTTACACGCGTGTTAGTCGGCGAGCTCAAACAAGTCCTCGAACATGGAAATTAGGAAATAATTTTGAAAAAGAAGGCGTTAGTAGTAGTTTTACATTAGTACGTGTCTCGTACCGTGGTAATGGAAATCTGAAAAATGCACCGGAATATTCAGTCTTGGTGGTGCAAGATGTGATTTTTCCTGCCATTAAAGTTACTTGCAACAAGTTAGACTGTATAACGAGTCTTTCAGTGCAGCTGCCTTGAATTTCAATTTAAACCTTTAGGAAATCGAGGTCTGTTAGCGTACCTTGTATTAGAGATCTGAACTTACTCTATTAAAATAGAGCAAGCATTCAGAACAACGTAATAGGCATCCCAAGTAGAACATATTAGTCATGAAAACATCAAGATGACATCATTTTTTATGCATCATGACGTCAAAATAGTCCACCGAGAGCACCTATTTGTGACATCATTAAGATATCAAAATGTTGTAAAAATGATCTTGTTTTACAAAGCAAAGTTAATTAAATATTATACATTAAAAATAAATTGAAGTAATATGAGGTAAACATATAATATATGACTGATCATGTAATCTGTAATAATATATTTTATTATACACATTACGAATATCATAAAACAGCATGTCATAAATCAGTCATTGCAAAGTAAATCTTGACGTCGATCATTTTATGACGTAAAATTCATCATTAATATCACATTGACGTTTTTGTGATTAACTTGTTCTACTTGGGATATTATTTGCATGACGTAAGTCACGCCGTGACTTATCCTCAGAGCTGGCCCAGCCGAGCGGAAGGGAGTTGAGCCGGGGAGAAGGTAAAAGACCATTTCTCACAAATATGATCTGCTTACAAGTCGTTGTAGTGCTGTGTAAATTATTGCTGAACGTAGTGCGAAACGCGTGCATGTAATTTGTGAGAATGTCTAGAGATTGCGTGTATATAATTTATTTATCGGCGCACGAAGTGGTCGATGCTTCTATGTAAATAATATATATATCTCATATGAAAATATATCGATTCACTTTGTATTTGTACGACTTAGGATAAACACATGAAATGTTTTTATACGTATATTTTTTATCTTGTAAGTTTCAAGGCATGAATTTTTGCCGGAGCGCATTTCTATCATTATGTCGGCGCGATAACGGCTAAACTCTTGCATAAAGAATGTACTAAAAATTAGATCAAAGTATCCTACGGTGGAGAGCCGTGGCTTAATAATAATTAGAATTTGTTTCCAGAATATTTCAGATGCAATTGCCTCACGATTTTAAGATCGTTATTATTACATTGGACGCAATAAAAGTACATCTATTCTGTATCAGAGATGTTTATTGAGGTTGCACAATAACAAAAGATCGTGTAGACACAAATGTAGCAGTGATATCAATCTCGATGAAAAATGAAGGAATGATTTATTTTATATTGACTGAATTACGGTTTCCTACACACACATTCATTACTGTAAATAATCACATTCTGCTCACTTAACACTTGTAAATTATACGATACCTCATATAACAATATATGAGCATGTAATCTTTTTCTATAATTTTTAGTCTTATTAATTATTGATATACCTTCCCATAAATACCGACTCTAATCGAGTATTTACGTAATATACATCTTAACATGTCAATAAATATTACATGACAGATCGTATAAATTAAATTGCAAGTTTAATATTTCTATCAACGACAATATAATCGTCATAGTACATTTGGCATGTATGTATGATGTCAATGTATTATATTTTCATATATAAAAAGTTTACATATATATAAAAACCTGTACATTACATACTAAAAATCATAATCACATGATTACGTTCTATAAATTAATAAACAATTAATTAATGCTACAATCTAAAACCTAAAGAGATCCAATCTGATTGCTATAATAGCTGTAACTTGTTTTCATGACTATACCTAATTTAAAGTGATTGACATCTAATTAATCGTATATTAATGTAATTTAAGTATCCATAATCATGGGAAATAAGATTCCTAATATCAAGTTTCTTATTAATATTTTTATAAACATATATACAGTCGTGAAACGCATCAAATGAAACGTTTTATAGTTACTGTTTTCAGGACAAGACGCACATTTCTCTTATGTTAATGATAAAAAAAAGAGACCCACTCAGTAACATCTATTCGAACGTCTCGAGATAAAATAAATGCGTTTCGACAGAGAAGACATTTATACCCGAAGAATCTCGGCAGCTTTGTTGTAACAAATGGCTATCCAATCAGGCTGCGTGGCGCCCCACTGAATCTGATTGACCTCGCCTTCCGCGGCGGTGTAAGCCAGTATAGGGTCCTCTATCGCTCTTGGCATTTGCTGTATATCCCATATTAAAGCTTGATGATCGTCGCCGGCTGTGCAGATGTGACAGGACGAATGCGGGGCCCAGGCTATTCCATTAACGCTGGCTCTGTAACCGAAAGGAGATAATTTAATCCAGGAAACCCGTTAAAACAGTCCACAGCACAACAAATAATATCGTTCCATACGCGTTCTAATATTAATACTACAATTTTAACTTAGGTCCTTTAAGACATAAAATCAATTAGAAATTAAAGAGGCCGTTTAGGACCAGGCATAGGTGTAAGTAGCCAGTTAAATTAAATTAATAAGTGATATCTATAAATAATAATCGTGACTGCAAGCTAGTAGTTAATGTCAAACTGTCTTACACTGACCTATGATTGTTCAATCTTGCGACCGGCGTGCACGGCACGCGAACGTCCAGAATGATAACTTCGCACGCGTCCATCGCCACGGTGGCGAGATAATTGGGATCCTGCTTGTTCCACGCTAATCGTAACAGCGGAGTATGCTGCGGGTCCTCGTATATTATCGTCGAATGCTCCAAGTGTCGCAGATCGAACATCCTGACGGATCCATCGGCGCCGACGGAGGCGAACATGTCGCGGCCACCTCCGGCACGGCTGAACGCGATATCGTACACTTCCTTGTCGTGCGCGATCAGCTGCGTCTTGACGTGGCCGGTAACCATGTTCACTCGGCCCAAAACCTGCCCCGTCTCCAGTCCCCAAATGGTGCAGGTGGTGTCTATGCTGGAAGTCCCGATTAGATTCGGATCCACCTCGTTCCAGTCGAAGGACGTGAGCGGCGCGCAGAAGTCAGAGTTCTTGTTGTTGTTCAGGACGCACTCCAGCCGAGTCTCGGGCTCTGCGGCGCGCCACACCCTCAAATAATCGCCAGACGTGGCGAGGAGATCGGCAAAGTGACCTGGGACAAGTATTGATTGATCTCGTCATTGCATATCTGTATGATTTACGTCCATTTCTACCGATGCGGATTAACTTTGATCTTGGTTTAACTTACTTTTCTAGTTTCAGGAATTGGAAAAAGATAAAAAGTAGCAAATTAAACGAGTTTTACTGGAGGCAGACCCAAAAAAGGCTCGAAGCTCTTTATGCTATTAAAGAGAAATTTTGTTTCTATATCGTGAGAACCGAGTTGCGTTCATTTTGAGGCTCGCATTGCCACTCTCTTCTTTCTACATATAAAAAAGTAAGTTAAACCGGGATTAAAGTTAATGAGCGCTTGTAGAAACCACGGTATAACTAAAAGGTCTACTCCGTTATTCGTTTTGTCTTGCGCTGATCCCTTCTGCGCATCCAACATTGTTTTGGTCTAATCGATGAGAAAAAAGTTGTATGTGTGGTGGCATGAAGTCGGTGTATGGTAGTGTAGCTTTGGGTGCTTTTCAGCAACGTACACAAGCGACACTGTAGCACAGTGAATCGTTTTATCTTTGTCGTTTGCCATTATCAAACGAGGATAAAACGATTCTCTATATTGCACTGTGTCAGTCTGTGTCCCTTGCTGGAAAGCACACTATGGTAGAAACAGACATGGAAGTAACAAGCCTACCTTTGCTGTCCGGTATCCACATGATCTTCGTAGTCGGATAAGGATGGTCGAATGTACTTTTAGCGCTAAACTCGGACGTTTCTTCGTCCAGCGAAACGATTTGTACTTTATTGTTGTACTCCTCCACGAAGCTCCCCAACGCCAGACGAAACCTCTTGTCGGGCCTCACCGACCAGTTCATGCTGTACAACGGCCATGGCGCCTCGTACTTGTAGATTTCCTTTCGTTTCGGTGGTACGTTATGCATAGCCATAATCGTGGCTTGATATTCCTGCTGCGTCAAGAATCGTTTGACATCAATTTAACAAGTTCAGAGAAACATTTAACACGACGAAAATTACATTCCTTTTTTATGAGACGTAAAATTTATTAAATGAAAGCCTCTCGAGCCAATCAATGAGAAAACTTGTGGACTAACCTAAAAACTGTATGTTGTAGGAAAATGTAAGCCAAGAGTAATCTGTTTGCCGGAACACTTAAATCTCCGCGTCCGTCATATCGCTGGGGGAAACAAGATTGTCTAGAGTAAAAGACACAAACGACTCGTCACCGCGGAAGACTAAACGAGGAAAGCTCCAGAACCGCGTGGCTGACGCTGCAAATATTAAATGATGGCCGGTTGGAAGATGCAGCCGACTACAAGATGAGATCTACAGAGTTCGTTTTACAATTCTCGAATTAGCCGCAGCTTTCTCTACGCAGGAAAAATATACCGAATTCCATATAAAACAGGCCGTTTTACTGTGCAAAGCGTCTAGCAAACGCCGTAAACACTACACACTGTGCACTCCGCAGGATCGATTTATCCACCGACGAATAAGATTATGGGTCTGTTCTTTCTAGCGGAATCATTTGTGCGACGCCAACGCTACAAGTGGAAAAATTTTAATTGAAAATTTTGCAATAATATCGGCCCACGTTTGGTGATGTATCAAGCCTAGTTTGGTCTCTTTATACAGACTTCATGGTATATACCATGGAAATAATCGAAATTCTAGAAAACACCATAGATCGGATTTATTCCGTTTTTCCCAGAAAACACAATCGAGAATCTAAAAAAAAACTGGCAAAGTATCAGGAGAACATGATCGGCAAAGAGGTGACACTATCTAAATTCCTAGAATTTTTCAGCATTTCCAAGAATTGAAATTCCGAGAATTTCAAACTTCAAATCGCGAAAATCGTGAATCTCGAAAATTGAC